AGCAGACCCCAACACCTTCTTCCCACGGTGCTATCGGCTGGGGACCAAATACGAGCGGGAAGCCTTCATCGGTGAGCTGAGGGGTGCTGCCCTCCTGTGCTCCCACTCTTCCCACATCCTGTGCAGGACTGACTGGGGACAGTGCCTCCCTCTTGCAGACGATTTCCGCCTGACAGCAGCTCGCAGTCTGCTCAAACTGGCCCTGGAAGAGGCTGGGGACAGGATGATGGGGACTGAACAGCCCCCAAGCTCTGACAAGGGGGCAGGTGAGTGCAGGGAGCTGACAGCAGGGACATGTCCGGGGGCTGAGCTTAGAGGCTGAGTCTCTGCTCATGGCTGTGGCCTGGAATGCCCCGCTCCCTCCCATAAATCCACCTTATGGGTGCTCTGCCCCCCACCCCATCCCCATGCTACCAAAGCCACAGGTCCCAGAGGGAGGCTCTGTGCTGCTTTGGCTCCAAGGCTGGCACATTAGCTATGTCTCTCACCCCATGCCATCCAAAGCAGGGCCAGGATCTCCCCTGTACCCCCAGCTGGTGGAGGAGGCCCTGGAGGTCTGCGAGCAGCACCTGGGTGTTCTGGGGCACCAGGACATCGACAGGGGCACCCCGTTCCCCTGCAGGACATGCATTGACTGGGACCGCTTCCTGCAGGATTACTACTGCGTGGCACAGTGAGTGCCGAGTGGGACAGGGGGCAGGGGACACTGGGTTGGGGCTGGTGCTGAGCTCCCCATGTCTCCCCACAGTGAGGGGGCTGGGCTGGTGCTGAGTGGGGCACAGCGGGAGCGGTGCCAGGACCTGCTGCAGCGCCTGGCGGAGCAGCTGCCGCAGTTCAGCATGGAGGGCAAGCTCAATGTCTGGATCCTCAAGCCTGGTGCTGAATCCCAAGGCAGGGGTAAGGCTGGGGGAAGTGGGGGACACACACAGGCTACCCACCGAGGAGGGGTCCCACCATCACTGTGCCCTTGTTCCCCAGGCATCGTCTGTGCAACACGGCTGGAGGAGGTGCTACGGCTGGCGCGGGGCTGCACGGCCCCCTCGGTGCAGGAGGGCAAGTGGGTGGTGCAGAAGTACCTGGAGCGGCTGCTGACCATCTTCGGCACCAAATTCGACATCCGTCAGTGGTTTGTGGTGACTGACTGGAAGCCACTGACTGTCTGGTTCTATGGAGACTGCTACCTGCGCTTCTGCTCCCGGCCCTTCTCCCTGCACTGCCTGGAGCGGTGAGTGCCCCCCACACCCCAGTCCCCCAGCCTGACCCAGCCCCCCAGACTGACCCCAGCCCCCCTCTCCCCACCCCAGTGCCAGGCACCTCTGCAATGTCTCCGTCCAGAAGTGGTACAAGACATCACCAGACCAGGACCCCCGCGTGCCCCCCGACAGGATCTGGTCCAGCAAGCAGTTCCAGGCATACCTGGCATGGCTGGGGCAGGCAGATGCTTGGCATCAGGTGATAGTGCCTGGCATGAAGGC